CAAAACCAGCACATCTTACATAGAAAAAATATTATGCCAGTAGGCAAGGATTTGCCATTAGTCTGCTGTCTGAGTTGCTGTCCAACTCCTGTCGTGGATGTTCAATGTCTGTCTTTGCACCGGGTTCCAAAAATAGCTGTCTCTTCTGACCCGGCCAGTTGGGGACCGCTTTGTAGTTAGGGTTTGTGCAGAACTTTCTTGGCAGCAGCAGTCCTGTGCTTTCTTCTCCCTCTTGCTGTCCGTAGCTGCACTGTTCTAGCTGCAGCAACCAAATTTGCTCACCTCCAGCAGCCCCTCCCCACCTTGTGCTGAGAAGCTGCTAATTGCAAGAGAGCAACAAATGCCCCTTCTTCTCCAGGAATAGGAAGCTGATTATTCCTGGCCTCCTTCTCCCCCAAAAAAGTGAATTTGGGGCTCTGCTGTGGCCTCTGACAAGGTACTGGCAGAACAGAGACCATGACTGACAAACAGCTGAAATACCTGTTTTGCTCTCCAGACTTTTGTTGCTCCTGAGTCACGCGATCGTTTCTCAAATGTTAAAAACTCTCGGCTTGTGCAGAGGGCAGCCCAAATCTGCAAGGAGGACCTTTGTGCTGCGCTCGCGGTCACCTGGCTGTACCTTGATCTTCTGCCGCAGGGGTCATCAGCTTCACAGTTCCTCTCTGGGTCTCTGTAGCCACTTGCGAACCTCTCATCTCGCCGGCCAGCGGTAGCCCTGTGGATGTTGGGCAGACCCACAGCAAGGGCAAGAGGGTGCAGGGGAAGCAGAGAGGTCTCCCGATGCTTCTTTGCAAGGTCCATTTCTTCCAGCTTCCTTTGCTCCTGCTGCGCCTTTCTGACATTTGATCTTGTGACTTTTCCTGCCCAGTTAGTTTTTGTTTGTGTTGCTAGTTAGATCTCGGCCTTGAAGAGCTTCCAGTTGCTGTCAGGTTTGTGCCAGGCAGTCGCTACTCACAGTTGCAGTTGCCTCTGTCTGTGTGTGTGGTTTCACTGTCGTATTCCTCAGCCCTCCCTTCCACGTGCATGCCCTTACCCATGCATACATAGTCTGTCTCTCTTGTGGAGACCTACAGATATCCTTGACAGTCTTTTCTGATTCCCCTGCATCCCATTTTCTGGCCAACAGTCCCCTCACTCCTCTTGGCGCTCACTGGAGGAGAGCAAATAATGACCAATGTTTTTGGCCGATGCTGACTTCATCAGTGCCCTCACATGCAGCCTGGCTGCCTCTTGGTCTTCGTGCTCGAAGCGCTGAGAAGAGTCCAGTCTGAGTAAGCTTTGAGCAAGGTGTTCACCTGTAACAGCCCAGTATCTCTAACTGGTATGGGGGTGTGTTGAACACAAACCAGAGAGTTTAGTCCCCTGTCCAAGAGGAGGTCTGCTGCAGTATTAAATTTTGGCATAGTGATTAAGTGAAGGGGTAGAAGGGTACTGAGAGAGCTCCCGTGGCTTTTTCCTTCCCAGCTACGTGCTGTAAGATGAATCAAATAGATATTATGCAATTTAATTCTGACTGTCGTTGATGGCTTGACTTTCTTTTGACTCGGAACTGAGCTGCGGCAGAGTGCAGGGGGTTGTGGGGCTTTCAGCACGGTTGAGAACAAAGTTACACTGCACCCGTGAAGCTGCACATCCAACCTTTGAACAAGGCAGTGTCAGCAAAGGCCTAGGGGTTAGGTGGCTGTGGCTACTCTTTAACTTGTCCTTAGACATCTTCTGAAGGCATCATATTAATCTCTCTGCTTACCGGCTGTTACCACCGATCTGTCAAAATATACCTCTGACTGTTATTTGAGACGTTTTAGGAAAGTGAGAAATGTCATAATTTGGTATAGATACATGCACAATGCAACCTTGTTACTTGAAATAATGTTTATAGTCATTCTTTCGGAAAGCAAACAAACAAACAAAGCAAAACAAACCCACCCAAAAAAGTGTAACTCCAAGACACAGTTGGAAGTGACTGTTTCCTTGATTCAGCACCAGGTCAAAATAGGGTTGCCACTATATTTATGTTTTCTGCAAATATATCCACATATATCTGAACAGTGTATGTCGTGTGGGTGGTAAGCCCTATCTTAACCTTGTTATTTAGCTCTATTATTTTCCTTTTTCTTCCTATAGATTGCACTAATGCTTTGAAACTTTGACCTCCTGAAGAAATGCTTCGCAGCATTACTTAACGTTCAAACCAGCTGAGATCTTCTTGTTGGGATGGATTTTCTTCTTTTTCCTTAGGGCGCTCTTTGCCTTGAGGTGACTTTTGTTTTATTCTTCAGTTCCAAATACCTCATCTCATTCTCTCCTAGCACTGATCTTCTACTGTAAGGATGCTTCTGGGACAGGAGTGAGGGGCTTGATAGCGCATGAGTATGTGACTCCTGGACAAGGATATGAGGTCAGAAAAATTATCTTGATCCCAATCATATTCACATCAATAGAAACTGGTTTACCTGTAGCACTGTAAGTGGAGAGAGATGGTTGTAGGTGACAGCTAAATGAGGTCAGAGAACTTGTCCATGAACCAGGCAGTTCATGGACATCCAAAATGTGGAGGGCAGAGCTTCTATGCAGAGATACTGATTTACATCTGCAGAAGGAGTACTTTCGCTTTGTTTTTAAACATAACCCTTATTCTCTGAATTTCCAGGCTTTTTCTCATAATAATACTGCAGTTTTATTGTACCTGGGGTTTTTTTTGGTAGGTTTCCAGCTACAGCAGATCACATTTGCATCTTGTAATGTCTGAGCTCAAGTTTGGCTTGGGCAGTGCTTATCTGTGAAGATCTTGTATGGATACTTCTGTGCAAAATATAAAACTGCTGGGTTGCTTGTGGCTGAAAACTGGACCTGATGGCTTCGGTGATTCCTTCCTGAATTCCTATAACTAAGTTCTAATCTGGTCTTTGTGTCGCAATGTTTTCCCGCTGGGAATTGCCTAGCATTGTGGATAGCTTGCTTCCATTTTCTCTCAGCTGCACGCTGGTCTTTTAATGACCTTTTCTGTCAGTCTTCCTTTGTGCCATAGGGATGTGGAGATGGTAACAGGAAGGAGAAGTATCCCCAAAGTGCCATTTGGGTGGCTGGCACATGCCGTTTCCCCCTGCAGCCGTTGCCCATGTTTCACTAGCTCCTGCCTTCATAACTGCAGCCCTTGCTCCCTCCTGAGTCAAGATTGTCACTGCGTTTTTGTCAAAGTGCCTTGCGAGACAAAAATCTGCTGCTGTTACAAAATCAGCAGCAGGGCCAGTTCTGCTGATGTCGGTGGTATCAGTCGTTAGCATCTGAAGAGATGACGTTTTCTCTATTCAAAAACCTATAACTAGCAGAAGCAGGATATGGGACAGTGTGGTCCAGAGGGCTGTCCTGCATTGCAAACCCCACGTCTATGCCTGCCTTCTCTTCTTGAACTATGTTATTTCTGGTTTACTGGTGTCTGACGTCATCCATCAATTAGCGTGTTGCAACCTTCTTGCTATGATCTAGAAGGAAGAGCAAAAAATATTTGTATGGAAAGAAAAAAGCCCTCTGACAGCTGTGGTCTTCAGGTGTTATCATAGAATCATAGAATGGTTAGGGTTGGAAGGGGCCTCAAAGATCTAACTCCATCTTGGGAATAACATTGCAATAAGAGAAGATCAAAGGTCACCATGCAGATATTTTGGCTTTTCCTTATTGTATTCTCTGGATGCAAATTTAGACCGATACCTCTTCAAATACAGCAAGGAAGGCGATGCAAAAAGTTGTAAAAATGTCACCCCTTCATATTTATCATGTGTTGGAGTGACCAAAATCAGTCAAAACTGAACAACTCACTGTGAAAATACACACAGCTGCCTTTTTTTGCATAACTATAAGAAATAATTGGGGAAATGTAAAGAATCCTGTTATAATGAATAGTTTAGAACAAGGTTAGTAACTATTTGCCTTTAATTCAGTTTATTAATCGGTTGCTCTCTGTGGCGTTAGGCAGTCCTGAGTCTAAACAGAGCCTTTTGTCTCAGGCAAAGTTTCCATCGGTGAGAAGGTTTGTGTTTCAGACGACCATGTTCAACGAGCTGCTCGTGTCAGCAAACAATTTAACTGAAAAACTGCCGTTCCTTTTAGTTGTGCACAAATTCGGACGTTTCAGTATAGTTAGTTGGTTGCTCATTCATGCACAGGCATAAGTTCAGGAGCCTGTAAAAATGCATCTGTTTGAACGTATTTTTTCTTTCCCCCACCTTTCACACAGACTTAGCGGTTGAGCCAAATAGCTAAAAATCCTCAGCGGTTTAAAGGATTAAATGAGAATATTTGTGAAGGTGCAGAAAGGTCTGAAAAGTCCTGAAAATATGAAAGGAGGTAAATGCTGAAGGAACTGCTTGGTGAAGTACAGCCTCTTCTGCTATGGGTATAAATGTAACTGTGAGTGGCGGACTGGCGAGTGGGTAGGGATTTTATAGCTGCAAAAGAATAAATCAATAAAAAAAAAAGAGATCTGGTGATGGTTGGCCTGAAGGTTTGCCGCTGGGCAGTTTGGTGAAGCCAGTGTGAAGACGCTTTCTCCTTAAGGGTTGCAAATTGTTTCTCCTTCCAGATTACAAGGCCAGTGCTAGTCTTCCTTCCCCCTTAGCTGGACTGTTTTGTTCCCACTGGTTCCTCTAAGTAACCTGTTCCTTCATGTTTTTCTATTTGGCTCAGGTGCTGAAAGGTTCAGGCTGGAGGTTCTCCCGTGCTCTCCATAGCTGCCGCCTGGCACTGCCCTGAGGAGAAGCAGTGGTGGGAAGGTGGGTGCTGCCCTGAGAAGAAGCACTGGCGGGAAGGTGGGCGCTGCCCTGAGAAGAAGCAGTGGCAGGAAGGTGGGCGCTGCCCTGAGGAGAAGCAGTGGCGGGAAGGTGGGCGCTGCCCTGAGAAGAAGCAGTGGCAGGAAGGTGGGCGCTGCCCTGAGGAGAAGCAGTGGCGGGAAGG